CCTTGCAGAGGTTAGGGGGCGCAGTGAGCCTAAATCTGATCAGGAAGTGGTCGGTCCATGGCAATGGAGAGATGGACAACTCCTCCACACTGCCACCCTGCTCCCATCCCTGGCAGAAAACCAAGTCCAATGTATGTCCAGCACAGTGGGTGGGGCCAGATATTTGTTGGGACAGCCCCATGGTTGCCATGGCGGACATGAAGTCCTGAGCCGCTCCTGTGAGGGTCGCCTCGGCATGGATGTTGAAGTCCCCCAGCACAAGAAGCCGTTGAGACTCCAACGCCAGGCTCGAGACCACCCCCGCTAGCTCAGGTAGGGAGACTGTAGTGCAGCGAGGTGGACGGTACACTAACAGAATCCCTATTCTGTCCCGGTCACCCACCCTCAGGTGGACGCATTCAAAATTTGTGGTCTGCGGGATGGGACTCCTGGTCAGATGGATGGAATCTCTATAGACCACTGCGACCCCGCCTCCCCGTCCTCCGGATCTCGGTTGGTGCTGTACAGAGAAGCCTGGAGGACAAAGCTGGGTAAGATTTACGCCCCCAGCTTCATCCAACCAGGTCTCCGTAATGCACGCCAGATCTGCCCGCTCATCGAGGATTAGGTCCTGGATCCAGGTCGTTTTTCCGTTGACAGATCTGGCGTTCAGCAGCACCACCTTCAACCCAGAGGGCCCGCTCACCTGGTTACACCAATTTACCTTAGGAGACCGGTTGGGAATTGTTAATGTAGATAAGTGGTCCGAATTAGGCCGAATTAGAGGTCTCCTTTTTCCGCATCTCCCCCTCCCCACCACGACCTCTATGGGGGCCCCTCGGCTAGTGGAACACCTCCCCCTCCTCCATGCCGCAGTCCAAACCCAATATCTTAATTTCTGTTTCGCTTGTTGTTTGGATTGTTGGTCCTTGCCAACTCCCTTGCTTCCCTTTCTCCCCCCTCCCCGCCTCATTGTTGTTCCCAGGCTCCAGCCCACTTCCTCCCTTGTCCCTTCCACTAGTCAACAATAACAGGGACAGTACAAATAGGGGGATGGGGAACCACATGGATAAAATAGAATCAGATGGAGATAAGCGAACCAGCTACAACAGTTAGATAGTTCCTAAAGTGCAAGAGTCTTAAAGTGCAACACAGTCAACAACACAACTCAGTCAATGACACAATTGTATGCCATTGGGTAGATTCATAAAGTGCAGAGATCTTAAAATGCAGCAATACCCAGAACTGGCTCTTAACACTAACTAAAGTGCGGCATAGAGGGAACGGGGAGAGGGCGTAAGTGCTGGTATAGATTAGCAGCAGCTAGGCAGGCGCCTTAAAGTGCTATATTGCGTTCTTAGTATCAATTAGCAGCAAGATAAGCAA